CCATATAACGAAGTGGTTGTCTCCCTAAAAAGAATTTTTTCAGACCTCTATCTTTTCGATTTTTGCCATTTTTGAAGAAAGTTGCTAATTTCTGTGCACACAAATCTCTCACACGTGCCTGTTTCTGGAACCACTCGCATTGTTCATTCCAGCGATAACACATAACAATAGAATGCTATGTGAAGGATAATGCAGTTGTGGGGATCTGGGTTTCTACAGAGGGAGCAACATTTCTACGGGTCAAGATTACAAGAATAGGGGTGGAGTGGGGGTTGGAAACAGCAAATGGATGTGACAATACGCATTTTATGTTTATCCGTACTAGTACAAATTATTCTCTAAATTGGTGAACTGTCTTCACTTTTGAGCATTTTATTTATACAATAAAAATTAGTATAATTTTAACAAATTTATAATAAATATTACTTCATTTTTAATTGAAAGCATAATTAAATATTTTTGAACTTATCGCACATACTAAAATGTTTGTAACATTTACTTAAATAACTGCAAAAATCTCTAATCTCCGTATAACGAAATTTTCTCTTTAGCGAATTTTTCAACTGGAACGAAGCGATTTCGTTATAGGGAGATTCCACTGTAATCCTTCCGCGAAACTGTACATTTACTATTTCCTGGTGGGATGTGCTGTACTTGCGAACTCTCTGCAGCCCGGATAGCTCAGTCGGTAGAGCGTTAGGCTTTTAACCTAACGGTCCAGGGTTGGAGTCCCTGTTCGGGCGGGTGTTTTTTTCTTCTTTAGGTTCTTTGTCTTACAAACTCTGTTTTTTCACTAATTAATATAGATTTTTTTTAATGATTTTGAATACACGGGTCCATTTTGTATTATGTTTAAAAATAAAATTCAATACTTAAAAAGAGCAAACAATTTTGAGGCATTTGCTTCAGAAGGGAAGCATACATTTTCTCTTATATCCCTCCCGGTTAAGAACACTTAATGCCATTTTTCATATAAATTTATTATAATTTTATGGAGTTTATAAATAGAAATAGCGTGCATTTTTGGTAATCCTTTTAATAATAAATTTTTAATTATAATATTGTGTTTGAAAAAAGGAGGCATATTTTTGTATGTAAGACAAGTACCTAAAAAAATTAAACGATCTTAAGAATATTTGTAAAATAAAATAGTTTGAAAAAAAATAAATCCATCAATTCAGGCACTAATAGCATTCTTATCATCTATTTTTATCTACAAAACTTTACATCTCGTTTCCATTTAAGTATATCCTTGAGCTTCATAATGTACAATAACTAACTGCGTTGCTGTTGTTGTTTTAACAAATGTCGGATTTTCCCTGCAATGGTTTTGCTCAGTATTTTAGTTAATGTTATGATAAATTTTATATAAAGCCAAATTAATGAAATATGTCTTGCATACTGTTTACTGTTATAACAATAAGTATGCTAAAAATAATAATTAAAAAAAATCCGATTATTTTTCAAGAATTGAAGGAAGAAATTCTAATTTTGCTGTTTTGGCCCTGCGTTTTTCGTAGACTTATCTTACTGAGAAATATCACCTGTAGAGAGAAAGCTAAAAAATGTTATAGCCGGGGTGGCGCCAAAGGGAGGACCGGGGCTGTTCCCCCACCCCCACATCCCGTCGTAGAAATTTTTGTACGGAGTATTCAGCTGTAGTTGATAAATAATAATCTGGCGAAAATTGGAGACCAATTTCTTTACACTATCTTTACACTTTCTATGCATCTATCCTTGAAATATAGTGCCGAACTTTTTCTTCAAATAAAGCAAAACTATTCGATAGCTAATAGAGATACAAATATGCGGAAGAATTTATTTCGCGTATTCACTCTAATAGAAAGGCGGGAGACACTTCTTGAGCGTAACAATAAGCACAACTACGTACTTAAAGCACAATTGTTTCGTCCTCTTGCTTCGTGTGGGGCCAGTGGCGCAACCGCCTGACTACGGATCAGGAGATTCCGGGTTCGAATCCTGGCTGGCTCGATGTAGACTTCACTTTTTTTGCGCTGGTTTAGCTTGAAAGTTCTTTACCAACAATTTTTTATTAGCAAAGGTAATGGGTAATTAGCACTATCTTATGAGGTAAAGGAAATATTTGTGGTGATATGCAGTATTTCATCTTTGTAACTGTGTGCATTAAAACTTCTTGAAACAAATCGTTGAGAAAATAATTGTAACATTGGTAAATCTGAGAAACTATTTTAAATTTCAGAATTACAAATTAGCAACAAATTTTTCTAGAAAATTTTTTCTAAATTATTTTTACTTTCTCGTATACTAAGTATACAAAGAGAAAGTATTGTAATCGTCAAAAAATTCGAACTCGAGATTTTGACGAATCTCCACGATTTAGACCTCCCTGAGTCCGTAAAACACAATTTTGGAATTATGTCTGTCTGTCTGTGAACACGATAACTCGAAAACTATAAGAGCTACGGAGATGAAATTTGGTATGTGGTCTTTAAAAATAATTTGTAGGTTTCTATCAAATTTCGGACAAAATCCGTCTACGGGAAGACTGTCTGTCCGTCTGTCCGCGGTCATGCGGAACACTATAACTCAAAAACTTGAATAGCTAGATGGATAAAATTTGGTACACATTTTTATCGTCATGAATGTAGGTCCGTATACAATTTTGGGCCAAATCCGTCAACGGGATGACTGTCTGTCGGTCTGTATAATCGCATACTTGTTCATTTTTTTAACGAACTCCATGCGCATGCGTCCTGGTAGCAATGCCTGTGCACGCGGAAGGATTACGCCACTTTGTCCTTGAGACGGAAAGAGTGGAAAATCGGTTCGCATCCAATCGCTACGCATCTCTTTGAATTTGATTCCTTACCTAAATATTTTACAATCACTGTAATCTACAATGAGAAACCTTCTGATAATCATTGGTTTCTGGGTTACAGTAGGTTCGAATTTTTTTATCCACGCGGGGGGAGGGGAAACAGCACCTTTTTGGGGAAATATACGAGAAAGTTTTGGGGAGACCACTCCCGCTGGTTTAATCAGTGTGGTTAGCGATATTTTTTTTTTACTTGCAACAAAGAGAAATTTTGATTTCAAACCATCCTCGGAGTAAATTTTGCCATTCTGTGCATCTATCATTGAAGGAATCTTTATACACTTTTATTTAACTTGACTTCTTGGTAAAACCAAAGTGTACGGTACATCTCTCGCCAAGCTCACGCCAAATCATGAAAAACTCACCAAACGTCCGCCATGTTACCACATTTGCCATGCTACAGTCCGCCATTCGCTTACCACATTTAGCGATTTTTCGCCAAAGAAAATCCAAGTACACTTTGGTTGAGCCACTTCTTTTATGTTTGTAAATATGCAGTGGCGGACTGGCGAGGTTGCCAGCTTGCCCGATGGCAAGCGGGCCCTCTTAAACAGAAGACAATTTGGGCCCCCAGAAAGTGTGAGAGAGAAAAAAGAACTCTTTATCTATAGTAAGCTTTTCTAAATCAAACAAATAAAATAGCCCTTCGTTGGGGATTTATTGCCGTCGTAATTCGACCGGCCCAACAGCGGGTGGTCGAATACCGATCCAAGACGCATAAGCAATTACAACTGCCCGTAGAAACTGTGTTGTCCACTTCCTTTGACCTTCGGATCATTTACAGATGTTTCCCCAGAATACTGCAGCCATCGCGCAAACCCTCGGGCTGTTGAAACCAGAGCCATACTTCTCTGGTCCTGTATTGGAACAGGGTACTTTTTCTGTCCAAAGTCGACCCGCAATAGTCATTAAGAGTTTTTGTTGGTTTCCGAAGCCCCGGAAAGACGGAAGGAATTGCATCCCTTTGTGCAGAAAGAGTGCGTTTCTTGTGACAGATGGCTATAAGAGGTTCTTTTCTTCTTTCTTTTTTGTAGTTTCATTTTGTTTTAGCATTTGAGATAAATTTTTATGCGGTATGTTTTTGTGTCTAATGAAACTAATGACATAAGTCTTTGCATTCAACTGTTGAAAAAGTCTAAAAAACACAAGATTCAATTAAGATTATAATTACGCAAAATTAAAAAAAATAATCTACAATTATTGCGCATTATTAAGATTATTGTAAAGTGAAAATTTAACCTCATCATATCAAATAAATGAATTACATAATCTCCAGGAAGATTATCTTTTCTTAAATGGAAAGATGAGCTTAATGCCATTGCTACAAAGTAAATTTACTAAAATAACATAGACAATCTATCAAAAACTGAATTTATTTGAAGTAACGAAAAAAGAAACCGGACTTAAAGAAAAAAAACTGGCGAAACAATGAAAATAGACTGCATTTTAATACAACAAAAGTAGTTTTTTACATTATAAGGATGTATTTTCTACAAATATATAGTTTTACTCGATCTTTATGAAATTTGGCACACATGCTCTTCAAAAAAAGATGTAAGTAATTGTCAACTTTTTAAAGTTCAAAAGTAAATAAAAATTTCAGTTACTTGAAAATTAAGCAATATTTTAGCGTTTTTCCGCAATATTTTTAAACAATACTATCAACAAAATGATTTTTGGATTCCTTATAATTCAAAAATATCTTTTTAATGATACCTGTTTAATTACAAATTACTGAAACATTACCAGCACAAATTACTAAACTTTAAATCATCAAAAGAAATTTTTTTAAAGGTTCTTGGCTCTTTCAACAGATGCTCTACTAATGGGCAGCATTTCTCCTTCATACTTTGTCGCTAAAACCGTATACGAAATAGTTAACTTCGGGAATTTAAAATAAAATAACTTTAATCAAAATTTCGTTATTTTAAACGTAGAAAATTAAGGGGTGTTAAAAGGTATTTATTTTAAAGACACAGAAAAATTAAATATATTATAAAAAATTAAATTAAATACATAATTATTAAATATATAAATTTAAATTAATGTAATTAAATATATATATATATATATATATGAATTAATATTATGATTATAGATGTGTGTGGGCTCTCACTGACTCCTGGCAACCACTATTTTCAGACCCAGTCCGCCACTGTAAATATGGGATTTTGTAATCGATTTTTCACTGACTTCCTTATGTGCTCGAGTATTTAAATTTTGTAGACTTGTATTATCGCGATGACAATACACTCTTTTTTAATATTTTCAGAACTTAATTATTAGTTAATGGAGTGATTTAATTAAATTCTATTAATCCATCTTATAATTTTTAAAACTATTTTTAATAAAATTTAAATTAATGCTGATATTTATCAGTTGCCGAACCAGAAATGTCATGAAGCGTAACTGCATGTACAAGGAAATGAGTACACAAGATATGGAAATCACCCTATGCATGAGTAGTCGTGGCCGAGTGGTTAAGGCGATGGACTAGAAATCCATTGGGATCTTCCCGCGTAGGTTCGAATCCTACCGACTACGTAAAGTTGTTCTCTTTGTTATTTTTTAATACAGTCGAGCTCGTTATAACGACCACACATTATTAAAATCATTCCATTATAACGACCAGTGATAAAATCCCCAACTATGTTTCCCTATGCACTCTTTGTTATTTTACTTCCGGTATAACGATCGTCCAGTGCCGTCTAACCCAATACAACGTCCGAATTCAGCGGACACTCTTCCCGGTATTTTTCCAAAATTCCTTTTTTTCCTACTTTATAATCTATTTTAGAAATATATTTTTGAGTGATAAAATTTTATTTTTAATACCAATAATAAAAAAATAATTTGAGTATTTAGTTGGAATCTCTTTAAAATAGCCTATTTTTACGGAACTGCTGAGAGTGCATGTGTACATTTTTTAATTATATCCACTATCGCGACCACACGTTATAAAGACCTTTTGCTGTGGGACTCAGAGGGTCGTTATAACGAGCGTCAACTGTACTTCTACGTGTTTGAGAGTGTAAGTTGTTTCCGATAACTTTTCTACACAGCAGAGACAACTTTCTAGAAACATAAAACGTCTTAACAACTACAAAAGGGCGATTTTTTCTTCCTTCCTCTCCATGTTTTCATTAGAATTAGAAATCAAATTACCTTATTAAATCGCAAAGTTTTTTACTTGCATCGTTTTAACGATAACTGCCAGGGCCAGATTTTCCATAGGGCCAACCTAGGCCATGGCATAGGGCGCAACAATCGGAGGGCGCAAATATAAAAGAAATTACAATTAAACATTTATAAATTTCGGTATTAATTTGAAAAGACCATATAAAATACTGTTTTTGAATCACATCCATACGCATTAAATAATTATTTATCAACAAGATTTGGAAAAATCTATTGAGTGCAATGGCGAATCCAGGATTCGGGTCGGGAGGGGGGGGGGGGGGGCTGGTCATAAAATTTTGTATCTTAAGTAGGTTAGTCTCAAACCTCATGCCTTATGTAAACCAAAACACATTAACTTTACAGACTTTTCTCATCTGATAATAAGAGTCATAAAGAACATTACATTACTTTCGATAATTTAATAAAAAATACAATGAAATAACTAGCCCAAAAAATGTTTTCGACCGCTTCAACACTACAAGTACAAGTGGAATGACTAGAAAAGTATGAACATTTTCGAGCCTGTCAAGCCAGAAAGCAATTTGTCACGATTTTATTTATTTTTTTTTAAATATAAAAATTCAGAACAAACAGTTGTAGTGATTTTAAATAAAATCAAAAAATTTTGGTTTAGCTCTGGGGGGGAGTGGCTGCAGCCCGATAGCCCGCCCCCTGGATTCGCCAATGGTTGAGTAGTTTGGATTTCTATAGTGTGCAAACTATATTTGAATTTCACTTTTAGTTATACAGATTGACTAATATTTCATCTTTTAAATTTATTTTCCCATATTTGAAGTCCACACAAAAAGTGACGACCATAGGTCGCGCGTGGAAAACCTGACACAAGTGTTCATTCAATATTAATATCAGTATTAACATCTGAAACAGAGGTTGAATTTTGGATAATATTGCTATAAGAATATAATTCCTCCGCGGAACTGTACATTTACTATTT